TATGTACAAACAAGATATATACAGTATAAATTAGAAATAGAGGAAAGGCACTAACACATATTAAGGAAGACTGAGAAAGGCTTCCTGTGGATGGTGAGATTTTTACAGGGATCTGCAGGAAGTCAGAGAAGCCAGGATCAGAGATGAGGAAGTCACGGTGCCTTGGTGATTGTGAGTTCCTGAAAACTATGTTAGGGAACTGAAAGATTTGGCAGGTCCTATTAAGGGTTTCAAGAATAGTCTTAGGAATAGACTGTATGTCTGTTGTTCATGAACTAGCCTAGCTTAGTTCAGAGAAGTTCATTCCCAGGTTGGCCATAGGATAATAAAGTTTTGGCCACAAAGATTATTTACTAAATCACAAAGCAAATGTGATATGCATTGGTAGACGGAAAACTGACACCAAGATTCTTAAAGATCTTTCTTATGCCTGACCATAGATTCTTAAAGAACTGATTTATCATTTAAATAATTTAAATACTATTTACTCTTGAAGAGTGACAAAGGAATTCTGTAGGGTCAGTTGCAATACTGGCAGAGAAAGTGGCCCTCTCCTTAGAGAAAGACCTTGGGTAGTAATCTCCTCTCCTTTCTCAGGTATAGTGACTAGAAGTCTCTGCCCTAGCTCAAGCTCCAATTTCCTAATCCAGCACCTAGCATTTTGCTCCTGTCGATGTAGTTTCCTTATTCCAGGGCCTGTAAGCTTTATATAGGGAAAGAATATTTCCAAGAAAGTAAATGTGGTGCCACCTCATGGCCAGGAACAAAAACGGCACAGGCCAGGAATGCCTCCACCTTATCTACACCCAAGCAACCCCAGCATATAAATCTGAAAGTTTAGGACATCCTGAAAAAACTCCTATGTTTGTTAAATTGTCTTATTGGCTAAATTGTATCTCCCATTGCCTTCCTCCAAATATGTCAGTCCTGCTATCACAACTATCTAGATCAAATGTCACATCCATTTTGGGGATAGAAGCTCAAATGTTCAAGACTGGCACTAATTATTGACCTCCTACTTGGAAAAATGGCCACAAAACCTTGCTTGAGAGGCCATCTTAAATATGGCCGAATGACTATTTCAGAGACAGAAATTTATTTTACAATGTACTGTGGATGTAAATTAATATACACCATTTGATTTACTATTAAATACTTTTATACCTCAATAAATACAAAGCAAGAATGGTGAACAATAGACCAAATTTGACTTGTAGCCTTAAACCTATGGAACAATAAATGACTACAAAGCCAAAAACTTTGTGTGATAATACAGTAGCTCAGTTGTTCTGACAGACATCAAGTGTAAAATTATTGGCTCCGGTAAATCACAATTAATGAAAAAAATCCTCCCAGGGAACTATTTGAAAATGGAAAATTTTCAAATGGGATACATCTCCACCTGTAAGGGCCTTTCCATACCTACCTCATTATCCTCCTTTATCCTAGGAGACTTCTATAGATCTCCTGGCTTGATTTTTCCCATTTAGCTCCTTGGGAAAGAATATGCTTCAAACTTTATAATTATTAGAAGAAGGTCATGATCAAGTTCAGGCACCAATAACATGACTAGGTTGCTATGGTAGCATCACTAGGGAAACTGCCTGTGTACACTGTCAAACTCTCCAGCTAGGTATTCCTCGGAGGTTAATTTTTGAAGCACTCTGAGTTTCTGCCACATAAAATCTCTTGGACTGAAGAGGTAGTGGCTTTCTCCCACATCATACTTCTGGCTTTTGTCTTTCTACAAAAAAAGAGAGAAAATAGGTCTAGCAAAGAGTGGGTAGATTCTATGTTGACACTCCCTCTCTGAGAACAAGGTGGCCAGCTTCATGGATCCAACCTCCTGCCCAGCTCCTCGCAACAATCAAAATCTCCCTTGGAGAAGAATGGGTGGAGGAGACTCTGTTCATGCTTCCTTGTGAACCACATCTAAACAGGTCCATGGGGGCATACATAACCTATGTACGCAACAAATACACATATATATTACTTAAGAAATAAGTTTCCAAATTCATGACCAAACAACAGAGGAGCATTATGAAATGTAAAATGGATAATTTTGATTATATTAAATTAAAAAGATTTTGCACAAAATGCAACCAAGATTAGAAGGAAAGCAGAAGGTTGAGAAACAATTTTTATAGAAAATGACTCTGATAAAGGCCTCATTTCTCAAATACACAGAGAACTGAGTCAAATTTATAAGAATACAAGTCATACCCCAATTGATAAATGGTCAAAGAATATGAACAGGCAGTTTTCAACTGAAGAAATCAAGCTATCTATAGTCATATGAAAAAAATCACTACTGATTAGAGAAACAAATTAAAACAACTCTGAGGTACTACCTCACACTGATCATATTGGCTACTCAGATAGAAAAGGAAAAATGTTAGTGGGGATGTAGGAAAACTGGAACAGCAATGCACTGTTGATGGAGTTGTGAGTCAGTTTAATCATTCTGGACAGCAATTTGATATTTTCCCCAAAACTTTTTTGAAAATTTATTTATTTACTTTTTGCTTTCAACATTCATTTTATAAGATTTTGGGTTCTAAAATTTTCCCACTCTCTCCTCTCCTTCCTCCCCAAGATAGCATGCAATCTGATATTGACTATACATATACAATTATATTAAACATATTTCCACATTAGTCATATTATGAAAGAAGAATCAGAAAGAGAGAAAAAAAGAGAAAATAGTATGCTTCAATCTGCATTCAGATTCCAGTTCTTTCTCTGGATGTGGATAACATTTCCATCATAAGTTTTTTGGATTATCTTAGATCGCTGCATTGCTTAGAAGAGCTAAGTCTATCAAAGTCGGTCATTGCACAATGTTGCTGTTACTTTGTACTGCTCTCCTGGTTCTGCTCAATTCACTCAGCATCAGTTCATGTAAGTCTTTCCAGGTTTTTTTGAAATCTGCCTGCTCATCATTTCTTATGGAACAATAGTGTTCCATTACATTCATATACCACAACTTGTTCAGCCATTCCCCAACTGATGAGCATCCCCTCAATTTCCAATTCTTTGCCACCACAAAAAGAGTTGCTATTAATATTTTTGTACATGTGGGTCCTTTCTCCTTTTTTATGATCTCTTTTGAATACAGAGCTAGAAGTGATATTACTGGATCAAAGGGTATACATAGTTTTATAGCCCTTTGGGCATAGTTCTGGAGAGCAATTTGAAACTATGCCCAAACGGCAATTAAACCGAACATACCCTTTGATCTAACAATACTATTAACTAGGTCTGTATCCCAAAGAGATTTTAAAAAAAGGCAAAAGGAACTACAATGTTTTTTAAACGTTAAAATTTGTCTTTACATGTAATTAGAAAAAATGGAACATAATTTTTAAAATAATTAACATTAAAAAAAAAAAGAAAGAAGCTTCCAAACCCCAGCTGGGTTTCAAACAGTCTAGAAAGGACAATGGTAGCAGGTAATGAAAAAAGAATGACTAGCAAACAGAAAGTTCAGGCTTTGCCCTGGAGAGAAAAAGGAGAGGAGAGAGACATTTTCTTCTTCTCCTTGATGAGGCTCCATCAGCAATCTGAGTTTTAGTTCCATTGATGGTGCACTTGGGAACATCTTCATTAATGGCTGCCCAAGGCCCATTGTTCTGCCCTTGCTAGCATGACCTAGGAAGCTCTGATGGCTCCTTTATAACAGCTCCTTCTTCCAACATGCCTGTACTAGTTCAAGGTCAAAGGTAGACCCCATAAACTCAGGGAAGGCTGGGTAAACCCTCCCAGGGTACTTAGGTTCCAGTTTTCTGAGGAGCTACCTTGAGATAATAAAGCACTGGTTGGATCACAGTTTGCTAATAGAAAAAAAATCTGCACACTTCAACCCCAAGGTATGTAGTGGTTAAAATTTTTAAAGATATATATCTAGATAAAAATCAATAGATACATAGACAGATTCAGTATTTATATTGCCTTATTTCTTACTATATCCTTCCCTGAGTCTTTACCTGATTCTAATTTCTATAGTTTGCCCAAGTAGAAACGACCAGACCTTGGGAAGAAGATTCCAAGGTACCTTAGAGTTCATGATATCAGTCAGCCAAGCAACATCTAATATACATCCTACATTTTGAGAGAATGTATTTTTCAAAGAACTAGAAAAAAGATAGGCAGTCACATGTTAACAAACATTTATTATACTTATTATATAACAGATACTGTGCTAAATAATGAGGCTACAAAGATGAGAAAAAACATTACTTCTGGTCTCAAAGGGTTCACATTCTAATGGGGTGTACAACATGTAAACACACACACACAAGACTTGTACAGGATAGAAGGTAATCTAAGAGTTAAGGTATTGAATTGGAGGATAGGAGGGAAGGAGATCAGGAAAGTCTTCCTGCTGACTGTAGAATCTGAACTGAGTCTTGAAGGAAGTCAGGGAAGCTAGGAGTCAGAAATAACGAAGGATAGCATTCCAAGCATGAAGGACAACCAGTGCAAGTGGAGAGTTAGGAGATGGAACATCAGGTAAAGAACAGCAAGTAGGACAGCACTGCTGTACCATAGCAGGGCGTAAAGAATAAGACTGGAAAGAAAGGGAAGGTCCACTGTATCAAGTGCTTTAGATATCAGATTTTATATTTGATTTTGCATATAATAATCTACTGAAGTATATTCAGTAGGGAGAAGACAGTTAAATCTGACCTTTAGGGAACTCACTTTGAGCAGAGAATGCATTACAGTGTGTAGAATTAAGGGAAGACGGACAGTCAGAAGGCTACTATATATAACAGTCTAGTCTAGAATCGAAGAGGGCCCTGTACAAAAGTGCCAGGATGCATGAGAAATCATCATCCCTTGATTGTATTTGTGTACATACACATATTTGTGTGTGTATGTAACATGTACATATATATATGTATCTATATATATATATATATATATATACACACACACTACACACATGCTTTTTTTTTAATTGTAAAGGCATTTATGTTGTGAAGGGGAAAAAAAGGCCTGACAACGGATGGATGTGTGGGGTAAATGTAAGAAAGGAGTCAAGGATGACGCTTAAGTTGCAAATTTGGGTGATAAGAAGGATGATGGCACCCTGGACTGCAATAGGAAAGCAGGGAAGTAAGGTAGAGGATGGCAAAGTGTGGAAAAAAATACAATGAATTCTGTTTTGGCCACACTAGTTTTGAGATGCCTAGGGACATGCACTTCACAATGTCCAAAAGGCAGTTAGTGTGACAGGACTGGAGTTCAGGAGAGAGACAAAGAATGGATATAAATATGGGAATCATCCGTATAATCACTTTTGAACTCATGGAAATGGATGAGATCACCGTGGGAGATGGTATGAAGAAAATTGGACTCAGAACAGAGCCTTCAGTAAACACGTGGTTAAAGTGATACGGATGAAGATGCAGCGAGAGACTGAGGAGCAGACATATAGGAGAACTAGAAAGTAGCAATGTCATGAAAACCTAGTTAGCAATTAAAGGTTTCATTGATGACTTTGTAGTTTCAATTAAATGATGTCAGAAACCAAATTGCAGAGGGTTTAGAAAAAAGTGAAAGCCGAAGCATCCAGTGTATAGGTCTTTCTCAAGGAATATATTCATGGAGAGTAAAGATGGAGCACATGTTTACTGGGGATGGGTGGAGAGTGAAGGCTGCCATGACCTTAAATTCTAAATAGGAAGAATTCACCACATAAGGAATCACATTGCCAAGACTGAAATTATGAAGTTACCAAAAAAGTGGCAGTGAGGAATAAATCGGGAAGGTGGTTAAAGAGACAGATGTGGATACACAGGGTACTCATTGATCAAATCCAGAATAATTGAGAAAAAAAATTTTTTTTTTGCATTTTGCAGGAAAAACCTTAGGTTGGTTAGGATAGGGTGGATGGGTATGGGCAAGTTGAGGAGGGCCTGGTGACGAATTCAGGGGCCTTGACTTAGCATTCCCAGGGTTTTGAATGCATTTTAATACATTCCATAAATGTTTGTTGAACACAATGGAAATGAATCGGCAAGAATCGGCCGGCAAAGTGAGAGATCTGATGAATCCTCCCAACCTACAGCGCCCCGCCTCCTTCCAGCCGGAAGCGCCACTCTAGCCAAACTTCCCGCGGCGCGCCTCGATGGTAAGGCGGTCCTCCGGTTAGACCACTGGGCGCCGCCATGTTGGAAACCCCGAGCGACGGCGGCGTCCCGAGCCATGGCGGCGCCCGAGCTGCTGGAGGTGCGGCCGGGACTCTATCTGGGCGGGGCCGCTGCCACGGAGCGAAGCCGGCTGAGGGAGGCCGGCGTCACGGCCGTACTCACGGTGGACACCGAGGAGCCGAGAGGCGACGACGAGGGCCTGCAGACCCTCTTTATCTCTGCGCGGGACGAGCCCGAGACGGACCTGCTCAGTCAGTTGGACCGCTGCATCGCCTTCATCGGCCGGGCGCGCGCCGACGGCGTCGCCGTGCTCGTGCACTGGTGAGTGTGTGGGGGCGGCGGTGGGGGCGTGGGCTTGCCTCGCCCCCCGGAGCGAGGCCTCTTGGGAAAAGAGGCCGCTGTACGGGTGCGAGCAGGGCTCGGAAAGAGCCGGGGAAACGCCGGGTGCCTTCGCTGTTCCCCGAGGGTGGCTGAAATGTTTTAAATAGAAGTGAGCACGTGGGGAGCTGTTACACCCCGCGCCCCTCCCCGCTTTGAGCTTGCGACGTAAGCCCCGCATGCAGGCTAGGAGGGCCGCTAGGTGGTGCAGTGGGCAGAGTGCCGGACCTGGAGTTAGGAAGACCCTGGGCAAGTCACTTCACCCTGTTTGCCCCAATTTCCTCGTGTGTCAAGTGAGCTGGAGAAGAAAATGGCAAATCGCTCCAGTATCTCTGCCAAGAAAACTGCAAATGGGGTCATGAAGAGTCAAACACGATTGAAAAACAACAACATCCAATCCAAGGATGCTAAATGGTCTCACACACACACACACACACACACACACACACACACACTCACTCACTTACTTTAATACTGTACCGGTCTCACACACACTAAATTACAGTATTACTGTAATTTAGCTACATTGTGGGCAGAACAGACTTTGTAGACCAACCTGGAAACATAACCACCTTTTACAGCACATTTTTGCAACAAAGTATCATGGCTGGGGGCTTAACCCCCACCCCACAACCCACCCCCTCACTCCCCGAAGATCGTCGAAGAATACTGGAACTCAGGAAAATGCCAAGCCTTTTCTTGCTCTTAACATCAGGTATAGGTATTGTATAGGTGTTGTCATTTGGAAGTTCCTCAGATTGGGGCATCCTATAATAAGTAACAACTGGAACTTAATAATATGTGTAGGAGGGCATTTGATTTTAGGTAAGCAGAGGCACATCAGCAGTGTTTGTGCTTTCTAGCTGCCTTCTTAGCAAAGCTAAATACAATAGTCCTTCTTGGTCATAACTGTGAGCCACTGGCAATGGGTTATTAAGGGAGTATATGAGAACTCAGTAGAAGGCTTTAAACACCTCGAGCCTCAGATTCCTCATTTGTAAAACAAGGGTTTAGGGTCTCTTTCCACTCTCATTTCTTTATTCCTATAATTCTGTGATTTAGCAGAGTGAAGAATAGATTTTGGAAGTTAAAGTAAACGTTTAAAAGTATAAGAAATGGTAACATTCATTGTGGTAGAGTAGAAGGAACTGGGTTTGAATCTCCATCTCATATTCATCAATCAGAAGGCATTTAGTAAGTGCTTTTATATGCTACTCACTGTGCTAAGCTCTACAGATACAAAAAAAGAGAAAAATACAGTCCTTGATTGCAAAGATCTTACAGTCTGTTGGAGGAGACAACATGCAAACATCACACATAGGTGGAAGGTAATCTCAGAGAGAAGGCACCAGCAGCTGGGAGGAACAGGAAAGGTGTGTTGCAGAAGGTAGAAATTGAATTGAGGCTTGAAGGAATCCAGGAAATGGAGGTGAGGGGGGAAACATTCCAGGCATGGTGGACAGCCAGTGAAAATGCTGTGACATGGCTTGCCCTATATGAGGAACAGCAGAAAGGCAGTGTTGTTAGATTGTAGAGTATGTGTAAGGAAATAAAGTGTCAAAAGATTGGAAACGTAGGAAGGGGACCAAATTATGAAGGGCTTATCCCAGAGGTACTTAGGAGCCACTGGAGTTTATTGAGTAAGGGTCAAGACTGTGCTTTAAGAATATCACTTTCACAGCTAATTGGAGACCTTTCCCACTAGTCTATTGTAGTTGCTGCCTATCTGACCTGGGTTAAGTCTCTTAACTTTTTTGAGCATCACTTTCTGCATTTGTAAAACGAGGGGGTTGAACTGCATGTTATCTGAGGTACTTTCCAACTTTAGGAGAAATCTTTAGATCAGTGTATCACTTGATACTCTCCAGGTTTTCTCCACACTGCTCCCCATTGGTTCTCCTCCTGTCGCTTTGACTGCTCCATCTCAGTTTCCTTTGCAGGATTGTCATCTGTGTCCTGCCCCATAACTACAAGTATCCTGAAGTCTCTTTTCTGGGCTCTCTCTCTTCTTCCTCCACACTCTATCTCGGCTATGTCCCTAGCTCCTCTGGGCTCAATTATCATCTCTACGCAGGTAACTCCCAGGAGCTTGAAGTCCCATGTCATCAACAGCTTATTCCTCACCATGTATCCAGCACTCACTTCAATCTTAATATGACCAGAATAGAACTTGGTATCTTTCTCCTAAATAGGCCCCTCTTCCTAATTTCTTATTTCTCTGAAGAGCAGTGCCATCCTGCCAGTCACAGGCTTTGAATCCTGTGCTACCCTCAGCTCCTCCCTTCCCTCCACCTCGGCACAACCTGTCACTGAGTCCTGGATGCTGTGCCTCCACACCATTTCCCCTTCTGTCACCTCCTCTTCCTTCTCAAGCTGCCACCTGACCCCAGTCATCTTCTACTTGGTCTTCTGCAGTTGCTTCTAAATTGGCTGACCAGCCTCACTTCTCATCCCATTTCAGTTCAGGTGATTTTCCTGGCGCTCGCCTCTGACCATGTTGTTCCCCTAATCTGTAAACTTCAGTGGCTTCCTGTTGCCTCTAGTATAAAACACAAACTCTTCTTCCATTTGGCATTTAAAGTCTTTCACAGCCTGGGACTGACCTGCTTTCCTGGCCTTATTGTATGTTATTCCCTTTCCTGCATTATACAGTGCAACCAAACTGCCCCTCGTTCCTGTTCCTCCCTCATGACATCCCCATGTCCCTTGGCCTGGCCTTTGGCCTGCCTCTCTCTCGTGCATGGAATGCACTCCCTCCTTGCCCTGCCTGCTAGAATTTCTAGTCTCCTTCCAAGCCCAGCTCAAGCACCATCTTCTAAAAAGGACTTCCCTTGTTTGTGCTTTCCTCCCCCAGTTATCTCAAATTTATTTTGTAGAGTATGTGGAAGGTGAGAGTAAGGGGGGTTAGAATTTGGGGATATATACTTGCATGTGTACCTGTTATCTTCGGTGAATATAATATGCAGTTGGAGGGCAGGGACTGTTTCATCTTTGCTTTTGTCAGTCAATAGTCAAGGGCCAGCTGTGTGCCAGGACCTGTGCTATGTCCCTAGCATTACACCCACAACATTCTGGGTGCAGTGAGGTGTCACAGTGAGTAAGGTCCTGAATTGGAGTCAAGAAGACCAGAGTTCAAATCCTGAAAGTTTGTGGCCCTGGGTAAGCCACTTACCCTTTCTCAGCCTCTGTTTCCTTATCTATAAAATGAGGATAATAACAATGCCTACGTCACAAGGCTGTTGTGAAAATCAAATGAGATAACATGTAAAGTGCTTTGTAAATCTTTCAATACTATATAAATGCTAGCTATTATTAGCTATTACGATTGAGTGTTGCTTTAAGTTTAAACTTTAAAGTGACTTCTTTGCATAGATTTTAATAATCACCTACATGGCTGTGATATTTCCAACATGATATCGTTTCTCAGCACTGTCCTTGGCACATGGTAAGTCCATAATAAATGCCTTCTCATTCATTCATGTTATTTTTATATAAACAATGAATGAATAATAAGCACTTGAATTTATATAGTATTTTACACTTTAGAAAGCACTTTCCTCACAGTTACCCTTTGAAGTAACTTGTGCATATCGTGTAATCTAATCTCCCTCCTCCCCAGTTTTATAGGTGATTAAGCCAAGGCAAAGGGAGAGAAGGACTTGAAAGTCTATTCAGTTTTCCATTTTGCCCCATTGTCTGCCACAGGAAGGCATAGACCTTGGGCTGTATTCCAAATTAGTGCTGCCCCATAGAATTAGAGATCTAGAGCTGCAAGGTACCTTTGGGGGCCATCTCTAACTCTCTCCTTTTACAGGTGAGAAAACTGAGGCCCAGAGAGGTTCAATAAATTGCCCAAGATAATCAGTGTTCCCACCAATTGCCAAGGTAATATTTGAACTCAGACCCTCTGACACCAGAGCCAGTGATCTTTCTACTGCAACACATTGCCTGAAAGAATTGGATTTGGTTTCACTAAAAATTGGACCTGCACATTTGGCATCATAATGACCCATATTTGCAAAATGCTTTATGTACATTATCTCATTCAGTTCACACAAAAGCCCTGTGGAGTACATAGAATTTACACATTCCAGCATCTTAGATTATTGAGAGGATAGGATGGAAATTTGTACCTCACAATGAGACTGACTTATGCAAGGCTGGTGTCAACAGGCAATCACAATGTCATGAGACTTAGGTGAAAACCAGGTTTATTGCAAGGGAAATGAATGTGCATGTAGAATCCAAAGAGTTCCCAAAATTTGCATGTTTATGACAGCACAACAAAAAAGCAGGAGAAAAACATGTATTTCTACCTAAAGGGGCATGGCATGGGAGGGGAAAGGTGCAGTAAGAGTGGGAAAAGGACAGAACCGCTCCTGAAGGGGAGGAGCAAGGCAATGGCAAAAGCCACCTTCTTTTCCCTTGGGAACTGCTGGACTATGAAGATAGGAGGGTCTGCTTATTTGCAAAGGACCCCAGCTGCACAAGCATTTTCCCAGTCTTGCCTCCCAAGGACAGGCAGGGAATCCATCTTGGGGTACAACAACAAATTTTGTCGGCTCAGAGAGAGCTTCGTCCTTGACACATTCAGGGCCTCCTGCATGCTCTGGGTCCAGTGTTTCTGGAAAATATGGGAACTCAAAAAGACAAGTTTAGTTCACAGCCCTTAACACTGGTAATTTTCTTTTGTTGTTGCGTGGAGTTGGAGTTACTTTGGTAGTGCTGAGCTGTTCTAACTGTCGTGTTGGGAAATACAGAGGCATGGGCTTTTAAACTCTGCATTTTTGTGTGTGTTTATTAGTTGGATATTAAAGGCAAAACGCTTGCTTGAATAGCAGAGCCAGATAAAAATGAAACAGAATTTTACTAATAATTGACAAAAGAAATGTTACTTGCCTTTGTCATTGACAGTTTAATTGTAAAAGACTCTCTTCAGCCATGCAGGCATAAGTCGAAGTGTTGCTGTCATGACTGCTTACCTAATGAAGACTGAGCAGCTCCCCTTTGAAGATGCCTATGGCAACCTCCAGACCGTCAAGCCAGAGGCTAAGTGTGTTCATTGTTTTTGGCTTTTTTCTGTTCCTATGAGAAAGGATGTGTTTCCTCCTTGAATGAAAAGTTGAACTCTGTTTTTTGTTATTACAGAATGAATGAGGGCTTTGAGTGGCAACTGAAACTTTACCAGGCAATGGGTTGTGAAGTGGACACCTCTAGTGCAATTTATAAGCAGTTTCGTTTACAAAAAGTTACTGAGAAATATCCTGGTGAGTCTGGATTCTCAGCCTGAGAGGAATATTCTTAATTTCTAAGGTTGTCATTTCTTCTTCTCACATTAACAAAGTATTATTGGAATATGTAAAGAGTTTGTATATTCAGAATTGGGTGTGTTGTAATTGTTCCTTTACAGAATTGCAGAATTTGCCACGGGAAGTCTTTGCTGTTGATCCAACTCTGATTTCCCAAGAATTGAAAAATGAGATCCTCTACAAATGTAGGAAGTGCAGGTAAAGTATTTTGCAAGATATAGAGGTTTTAAATTGGTTAGATAAAGAAACGTGTTTGAAGTTCAGATCTCTTCATGTTAGTTTATTGAATCTGGAAAAATGTCAGTGCCACTGAATAAAAGATAATTTGTAATTCAGATCTCATATTTAAATTAGGCTTAAAGAGGAATGTGAATCGTAGAGACAAAAGTAATTTCAGATTATAGAAGTTGCCCTGTCTCAAAGTGGAGTGGAGTGATGTAGACCTCCACAAGAGCACATGCTCCTTTGCCTGGTATTCAAGGTCCTGCCTCACTGTAATTCTCTCTTACCGCATTATTCATCACTTTACCTGAGGATCCACTCAAACTGGACCACTGTCCAGAGATGCCCTGTGCTTTCCCTCCTCCATGTCTTTGCTCACATTTTTCTCTACATGACCTAGAATGCCCTTCTTACCTCAGCAGCCAAGTACAGTGGATAGAATGCTACATTTGGAGTTGGGCAGCCTGAATTCAAACCCAGCCTCAGGCACTTCCTAGCTGTGTAACCAAGGACAAGTCACTTAACCACTGTCTGTTTCTGTTCTGTCTTTAAAATCAGAATAATATCAGCACCTACCTAAAAGGGTTATTGTGAGAATCAAATGAGATAACATGTGGAAAGGACTTTGCAAACCTTCAGTCACTGTATTATCATCATCATTAACATTAACAATAATGTTGATAATTATTAATATATGACTAAAATTATGTAGGATTTAATAGGATAAAAGTATAATAAGAAAGGTTCTGACAAAATGACATGGAAATTCAGAGGAGGAAAAGATTTCTTCAGGTTGATAAGATCAGGAAAGGCAGTAGATCATGGAAGAGGCAGCATTTGAGCTGGGCCTTGATGGTTAGAATTGGGAAGAAGATAAGATTGTGATTTGTTATTATAATGCATTACTAATTATTATTTATAATTGTTATAATACATATTAATGACGATTTCTAGAATCATCATCAAGGCCCAATGCAAATGCTGCCTCTTCTCTAATCTACTAACTTTCCTGATCTTATCAACTTGAAGAAATCTTCCTCCTCTCAATTTTGTTGTCATTTTGTTGATACCTTTCTCACTACACTTGCCTATTCTACCTGTTTTTACTGTTGTATCTTCTTTCCTTTCTTAATTATTAGCTCCTTAAGAACAGGTATTCTTATTCTTCTTTGTGTTGCCTACAGTAGCAAGTACAGTGCCTATACTTAGGTTCTCAAGAAATATTTGTTGAATAAACAAAAAGGTATTCTACAATTACATAGTTCATGTATTTTTGGAAATCTTTTTTATGGTTGCTAATGTTCTCTGTGGTTTGGAAATTGTAGGCGTTCTTTATTTCGAAGTTCCAGTATTTTGGATCACAATGAAGGAAGTGGACCAGCAGCCTTTGCTCATAAGAAAATGACACCTTTAATAATTAACACAGGGAATGAGGCTAAATGTACTTCTTATTTCATTGAACCTGTTCAGTGGATGGAATCTGCATTGTTGGGTGTGATGGATGGACAGGTGAGTAGAACATTCAGCTTTATTAATGCAGTTTCATTACACCAACTATAATTTGTTTTTCTTTCTTGCATTTTTGTTTTTCACAATATTCTCATGACGTATCTATTTCTTTAATGCATGCCCTGTCCTGTTTGCCAACGATACATCCTATTGCATCCCTCCTGCATATATTGGCACATAAAAATCTATTAATAATTTATCAACAAACTGTTGTGCAGCTATTGCAGAATAATGAAATCCGACCTCTTTATTTTGTGCAGAACAAAGATTTTGATATGATTCATGGGATAGTTAAGGATAATTGAATATTAAATCTGGGCTTGTTTGTCTTTTTCTGGTGAAGGACATTAGATGGGCATAACTAAATTAGTAAAACTCATTTTCCCTCCTTTTGGCATTTGATAATTGTGGTAAAGTCATTCTCTATCTTCACAAATTTATGAAACAAAATTGCTATTTCTCTTTTTGTCTATATTTTTCCTCTTTATTGACCAGAAACATGTTTCCTTTAAATAATTAAACTTTTGTTATAGTATTTCCAAGGCCTAGCTTTTCAAGATGTAATTTACATGGAATAGTTTTCCTCCAGAATTTTCAGCCATACCAATAATTTTATATTGACAGCTTCATTTTATATTGTAATTTTATTCTGTGACGATTAAGAAGGTTTGAGAGACGTAGCTTCTGAATAATTTAATCACTTTATTATTTATTATTAATAAGGCCAGCAGATTATTAATAGAAGGATGGTTTTTTGGTTCTCTCTCTTACATCAAAGGGCTTATAATTTATATTCATAATAGATGGGGCAGGCTCATAATTTATATTCCCTTCGAAGAAGAGAGATGTGAATCTCTAAGATATTGGTTGCTAATAATCATTTCTTTCAATCCATTTAGTCGACAAGCATGTATTAAGTGCTTAGTATGTGTTAGGGACTTTATTAAACTCTGAGAATACAAATACAATTTAGAAAGACAATCCCTACTCTCAAGGACTTTACTTTCTAATGGGAGAAGATAACATATTAAAGGAAGTTGAAAGAGGGACTGCCCAGATAAGGGGAATATCGTAGAGAAAGTCTGGAGTGAACCCTAGACAGGAATAAACTGGAATGAAGCCTGGACAGGAATGAACTGTAGCTCACCTGGATGCCCTCCTTAAATGGAAGTTCTGGCAGAAACCATGAAATCAGAGGGGGAAGTTGCAGGAGTATTGATCACCTTTTTGTGCTTAGCTCTGTATTAAGCCTTTGTGAGGAAATAGATGATAAAATCTTCAAACCCTGAAAGAATTCAGTTTAGTAGGAGATAGAAATTACAACATAGTCTACTACTAGAGAACAATGACAAACCCAATACCCATGAATACCTCTGTGGAACTCTTCCTTAACTACTTCAATCTCTAGTAATCTCTTGTCCCTTCAAAATCTGATGGTACTTACTGTCTGGCATATGTGTGTGTGTATACATAAATGCATACCTACTTATGTAGGTATATACACATCTTATCTCAGTCAATTTTATATTTAATTGTTGATGTCTTGACTCTCCAGTTAGAATAAAAACTCTTTGAGAATATAGGGAATTTTTTTTTCTGGCTCTTCCACAGTGCTATGGACACTCAGATATTTGTTGAAGTAGTGATTAATATATTTGTAAGTGTTCAGTAGATATCAGAGTAGGGTAGTGTGACTTCTTTACCCTTACTTACCACTTTTTTTTTTGAAGGTTGAAAATTTTGAAGTAGATCTTTTAAATCCTTAAGACCTTTCTTTTGTATCAAGGTCTTAGTGCCAGATATTTGGGCAGTGCAGTGGATAGAGTGCTGAGCCTAGAGTCAAGAAGATTCCCCTTCTGGAGTTCAAATCTGGCCTCAGTCACTTACTAGCTGTGTGACCCTGGGCAAGTCACTTAACCCTGTTTGCCTCAGTTTCCACATCTTCTAAAATTGACAAGGTACAAGGTCACCAAAATGTTGGGGTTCAAAGAGTATGGATATGTGTCTCATGATGCCATCTCAAAAGAATTCGCTCAGGCTGTCTCCAAATCAAATAAAGGCATTTATTCAGATAACACACCAAGCAGGTTCCTCCTTAAGGGATGTCACAGCCCCCTAAAGGAAGTGGCTGCTTCTGGGAGATGCTTCTTAAGGGAGACACCCATTAAGGAAGATGCCCCTAGCCAGGAGGAGAAGCTAGGGATTCTTATAGAGGAAATGTGTCCTGTGGGCAGGGAGATAAGGTAACCAGGAATATGTGGGAAAGAGGCAGTAGTTTAGAGTTTTGATTTCATTGTCCTGCCTATTAGCCCATGATGGAGGGGCCCCAGTTAGTTTGATATTTAAATCTAATCTCATTGACCAGTCTCTTTGAATCTCTTCATCTCCAGAAAGTCTTCAGCTAATCTCATTATCTCCCCCTTCTAGAAGTAGGTACCCAAATTCATTTGGCTAGAAGGGCAAGGGTCATGCATTTCTTATCAAAATGAACTAGCAAACCACTCCAGTATTTTTGCCAAGAAAACTCCAAAAAGGGTCATGAAGAATTGGACATGACTGACAAATGACTAAACTACAAAAACAAATTTTATATCAATGATTGAACGGTCTGGTAACCTTGGGAAAGTATTGCTTTGATTCAGAAGGATTCTGAATCATTATAGTTTATAAAATAAAGATTATAACTCACATTTTGGTAACACTTTAAGATTTGCAAAGATAAACTATTTCTGAGCAAATAAAAATTTAATGTCAAATGAATGACATACATATTAAAATAGACTTACAAAATTAATGAAAATCTACTGTTAGTTTACTTGAAGTGTCATCTCCTAGAAACTAATGAATCCTTACCTGATTCTAGCCATTAATTGGTTGTGATGAATGAAAAGTTTGAGAGACATAATTTCTGGGTAATTAATCACTTTATTAATTATGACTAGTGAATAATTAATAAAAGGATGGTCATTTGGCTTTTTCTTGTAAACCAAAGACAAATCTTGGGGGCCTCTGAATGCTTAAAAAGCCTTTGGAAAAAGGCATGTCCTTGAGGATGAGAATCAGTTTTGATTGGTTAACAGTTAATGAGAGGGTGGACTAGTTAATGAGGAGGTGGGCAAAAAGTCTTCAACTCTTCCTGCAGATAGCATGACCTAATCATGAGACTCAGCTACCTCCAGTAATCTGGGCAAAAGAATCCATCTCTACCCTGACCTCTGTGGTTGTTTTTCCCCGTCATAAGTTAGGTCACCCTAAACTTTAAAGGAGGGTTCTAAGACAGTGGCTTATTTCCTAAGGGCAAGATCTCACTTAAGACTGGATTCTGTTTGTTAGGTCTCCTAGTTGGGTAGGATCCTACCCAAGATTGAAAAGCAAGTAACTTGAGGATTTGTCATCAATGTCCTTCAGATGCTAGCTGAATAACCTACAAGGGGCTGATTTCTAAATGAGGAAATAGAAAAGAGAAAATCTCAACCTTGTAGTAATTGGTTTTTAATATAAGAGAGAAATGATCCTTTCTGTCATGGTCCTATTTTAATTGAATATCATAGTTTCTGAATGTTAGCTGTTTTTAGTAATAAAAATGGTCATCTTTTTAGTTAATACTCCACAATGAAATTAATTTGGAGGTATAGTCTCTCTGAATTTAATTTGGTTTATTCCTCAAAGAGATTTCCTTTACATAAATTATATAATTTTTCTTCTGTAATAATTTTTAAAGTGTCATTCTTCTCCAGTGCCTCAAATTACCATCTGCCTTTCCTTCTTTCACCCCAGTCCCAAATGCTCAGTTCCCACCAGGCACTGAACACCCCTCTTGGCTTGATGCTGACTCCTTCACAACCAGCCTGGCCTGGGGTAACCCAGAGCCATTGGTTGGGGATTTTCCAAGGCACCCTGAGTACTACCTGACCTTTCTATCTTCTCTAAAACTGAACCCTATTCTATATGTTATGTCCCCTAATTAGAATGGGGGCTCCTTGAGAACAGAGAGTTTCACATTTCTGTTTGTATGCCTAGCACTTAGCCAGGAGCTTGACATAGTACTAAATACTTTTCCATTCATTCCATTTCATTCCATTGACAGGTCACAAAGTAGAAAAGCAGTTTAAACAAACATGCCCTATTGTCTTTTACACACACACACACACACACACACACACACACACACACACACACACACACTCACGCTTCAGTCCTCCAGTAAACCTCTGATCTCATTTATTTTGGTACACTCTTCCAAGAAGGCAATTTGAAACCCATCCATGCCTTTTTACTTTGTAAAGCTCTTGTCCATATCCTTCTACAAATCCTGCATGGGGATCCGCCCAGCATACTAGGAGCCTTCTTGATGTCTTAACATGATGAGGGAAGCAGCATAGGGGCAGGATGCCTTTTTTCCTTTACTCTTGAGACGTGACTGATCCATCTCTTCTAGTCACATACATATCCTTTGATGATATCTTTTACCCCCACTTCTTGTGCACAATTGTTGATTGATAATCCACAGTGTTTATACCCTTCATCATGGCTTGCAACTGACCCTGGGTTTTTGAAGGGTGTGCTGGTGACATACAAGCTCTGGCAGGTCCTGCCACCGTGTAGAGGGGCTTTGTGGCTTCCCTCCAAGGGCCAGCCTAGCTAAGTACGGAGAAGATAATTCCCAACAGCCTGTCCCTCAGGGACTGAAAGGCTAGGGCACTGGACTAGTCCTGGGATTTCACTGATATAGGAAACTCGGAGGGGAGTTCTATCAATGCAGATTGCCACCTTCTCTGCTTAAAGTCTTAGCTTCCTAGAACTGTGAGAAGTAAGGTGACTTGCCCAGGTTCACATAGCCAGTAGTGTCAGAGGCAGTACTTGAATCCAGGTCTTCTGGTTTCAAGGTTGGCTTTCTATGTGTCATGAAATGCTGGTCTCTGAAACAAAGGAAAGTTTAGACATTTATAGCATAAACTGTTATAATTAATATTTACTATTGCTTATAAATTCCATCATATTCAGCAAAATTTGAGTTCCTTAAACTGGTACCATTAATGAGGGACAGCTTCTTAGAGGAAATGAGTTTTAAATACTTGGGAGATCTTTTACTTGGATTTTAAAAGTCAAAGTTTTCTTTAATTCTTTGGCACTTGACACTCACCTTTTTTTGGCTGCTGATGTGGCCATATTGTGTTTGCTGTGAAATCTTTTTTTAGTTCTTTAGTTCTTTTTCTGAATGTTTTCTTTAGCAACTAGATTTCTTTAACTAAATTTACTCTTACTCTGAAGTCATGATATTATTTAAATTTGTTTTTTAAAAAAGAATGATTTGTTTTTAGATTCTAGGTTAAAAGAAAAGTTAGAACAAATTTGCAGAATAGTAGGAATCACACATGTGTTCTATCAGAGAGAAGCCTATAGGTAAGAATTTAAAAAATGCTTACAACAAGTATTTATGTACTTTATATAGTGCTTTTCTAAAAGTGTTACATCCCTGCCAAATATTATTACTTTCTTTGGTCATTTCTTTGATCTCAAAGTGCTTCACAAATATCTCACAGAGTTAGATTGATTTGTAGTTGGAGTAACTGAGACAAAGATAGGTGCTTTTCACAATGTCATTAGCAGTCTACCTGAATTCTGGCTTACTTTCTATGTTTGTTTCCCTGTGTTTGCTTTCACTGTGACTTTTGTTTCTGGGGCTAGGTTATTGCCTGTAGTTTTAAAAGAAAATTCATCTTTTTCAGTGGGTTTGGTCTATAAAGGTAATCCTTCTGTGTTTTATTTTTAGCTCCTTTGCCCAAAGTGCAGTGCTAAGTTGGGTTCTTTCAATTGGTGCGGCGAGCGGTGTTCCTGTGGCCGGTGGATGACGCCTGCTTTTCAAATACATAAGAACAGAGTAGATGAAATGAAAATATTGCCCCTTCTTGGGTCACAAGCAAGAAAAACATAAACTTTTTAAAAAAAAATTGATTTTGATAACTGACTTAAAAACCAAACTTTATTATATCTGATGCCTTTGTTCATTACTATTCATCATAAACATTTTAATTTATAGGCAACCACAATTTTTGATTATATTTGCATTGGAATTGGCATAAGGAAATACATCCCTTCATGTGGTCTGCCTCATTATATTGTCTTTCTTGGTCATGGATATAGAATGTGCCAAATGCATCTAAGTGGAATAAATTAAATGGGAACTAAGGTATTTTTTAGCCACTTAAACCGTGTGTGTGTGTGTGTGTGTGTGTATATGAACATATATGTATGTGTATATATACATATGCAGTTTGGTATTAAAACTCCTATATTGTCCAGATACTTCAGTGTTTGTGTATGATTTTTAAAACTAGTCTTCATTTGTGAAATGTTAGTGTTGCATCTTCACTTAACTTATGGTCTGATGACTGAATTGACAAAATCCACCTACTAAATATGAAAACTGCTATGTGTTTATAAGTACTTATTGATTTACTAAGGCTTAACAAAATTACTTTTTTTCATGTTAAAATTTAAGTTTTACTTTTGTTCTTATTACATTTTCCAAATGTACCTTGAAAACAACTCAGCAAAATAACCCAGTACAAAAGGCATCAACATTTTAATATTTCTCTTTAAAAACCCCAGCCAGATATTAAGAAATGGAGATTTGAGGGAAGATAAGTGATCCCCTACCAGAAAAGATGTTGATTCATATAAGGTTTCACAAGAATTTAATACAGATAGCTCTTCCTTTCTTATTCAGTGTCCTTTGTCCTCAAGTGATCCTTCTTTACCTGTTAATTTCTAAAATAGCATATAAATAAAAACTGATTTATTCCTTAATCTCTGTTACTTTTACCAATTCAAGTTAAGTGTTTTGCTCATTTCAGGATTTCTTTTTAGGAATTCTTCAAATGCCTCTTTGTTATGGAAGATAAAATTTTCTTCATTGATGATTAGGCTCAACTTTGAAGAATATAGCATTCTGGGTTTTAACTAAAGTTTCTTAGCTTTTTAGAATATGTGATTCCATTCTCTTCTCTGATTTCTTGTTTCTGTAGAGTAATCCTCTATTATAAGAATTGGTATTCCTCAATATTTAAACGTCTTTCTCTTGGATGCTTTCAGAGTTTGTTGTTTATTACTGAAATTGTGAAATGTAACAATCACATGCCTTGGAGTATTGATCATCAAAATTACTCTTGGGAAAAGCAAAGTTTTAAATTTAGTTCCTTCTTAAAATTTTAAAAGATCCCTAAACAAGTATAGCTAGCTATCTTTTCTTGGACATAGGGAATAACTTCCTTTATGCTCATATTCTTTCAGCATTTATCTCTTGGGGAATGGCTCTTAATTTTATAAATTTAAATCAGTACCTTGTAAAGGGGCAGATTGGTAGTGTAGCGGATAGAGCTCTGGCCTTGAAGTCAGGAAGATCTGAGTTCAAATGTGGCCTCAGACACTTAACAGTCTCAGATATGCAGATGACTTCACTCTGATGGCAGAAAGTGAAGAAAAATTAAGAAGCCTCTTGATGAGGGTAAAAGAAGAGAGTGTAAAAGTTGGCTTGAAGCTTAACATCAAAAAAACTAAGATCTGGGCAGCTGGTCCCATCACTTTCTGGCAAAGGAAGGAGGAGAAGAGGAAGAAAAAGGGAGAAGAAATGGAGGCAGTGTCAGATTTTATGTTTTTGGGTTCAAAGGTCACTGCAAGACAGTAACTGAAATCATGAAATTAAAAGATGTTTCCTCTTTGGAAAGAAAGCTATGGCAAATCTAGATGGCATACTAAAAAGCAGAGACATCACCTTGATGATAAGGGTCTGTATAGTGATAACTATGCTTTCTCCATTAGCAATGTATAGCTGTGAGAGTTGGACTATAAGGAAACCTGAGTGCTGCAGAATCAATGTATTTGAATTGTGGTGCTGGAGAAGACTTTTGAGAGTCCCTTGGACAGCAAGGAGATCAAATATGTCAGTACTTAAAGAAATTAAACCAGACTATTCAACAGAAAGCCAAATACTGAAGCTGAGGCTTAAGTACTTTGATCACATGCTGAGTAGGTAGAAAAAAGACCCTGATGTAGGTAAAGATTGAAGGCAAAAAGAAAAGGGAATGGCAGAGGATGAGATGGATAAATAATGTCATGGAAGCAATTAACTTGAGCTTGGACAGATTTTGGGAGATAGTTTAAAGCAGAGCAGCTAGGTGGCGAAGTGGATAGAATGCCAGGCCTGGAGTTAGACTCATCTTCCCGAGTTCAAATCTGGCCTCAGACACTTACTAGTTGTGTAACCCTGGGCAAGTCAGTTTGCCTCAGTTTCCTCACCTGTAAAATGAGTTAGAGAAGGAAATGGCCAACCACTCCAGTATCTTTGCCAAGAAACCCCAAAGAGGTCACAAAGAATTCAACAAAGACTGAACAACAACAAAGTGTGAAGCATTGTGCTAATCTGTGGGAATACAAATGGAAAAGCGAGATAGTCCCTGATCTCAAGAAGCTCACATTCTAATCGCAGAAGACAACACATATGAGAGGTTTCATCTGCAAATCAGATGGAAAGGAAATGCCTCCTGATCCTTAATGTCAAAAGGCAAAGCAGGTAGTAAAAGACTGTACAGATTTAAATAATTGGAGAAATATGCTTTGTTCACAAGTAGTTAAAGCCAATATAATTGACAATTTTGCCTAAGTGATTTATTTATTCAGTGCTATCCCCATTAAGTTACTACAAATTATTTTACTGAGTTAGAAAAAAATAACCATTTGGAAGAACAAAGGTCGAGAATTTCAAAGAAACTAAGGGGGAGAAATGTAAAGGAGATTCTGCAGTACCAGACCTTAAACTATATCATAAGGTTAAGAGCATTGTTGAAGTGTAAAATGGATGGTTTAGATTGTTTTAAATTAAAATTTTCTTTTACAACTAAAACCAATGTAGCCAAGATTAGAAGGAAAGCAGAAAACTGGGGGGAAAATTTTCATGGACCATCTCTCAGATAGGATATGATTATGATGGAATACTAGTGTGATATAAAAAATGATGAGCTAGTTGATTTAGAAAAATATGGAAAGACTTGGACCTGTGAAAGAAGATGCTATCCATCTTCAGAGAAAGAACTGACATGTGTTTACTTTAAATGTGTATGTTTATAGATATGTATGCATATATATATATTCATATTTAGTTGTAGGAGGGAGGAAATAAAAAATATACACAGCAGAGAACAAAAAAGCTAGAAAGAAGCACAGAAAAGCTGAGTAGCTTTGAAAACTGTAGAATTCATTACATAGGTGTTTGTGAAATGGAAATTTATTGTTTTATATTGAATCCTCATATTCTGCTGTATATGTGAAATTTTTTTTCCTTTTTTCATTTTGTATTTAAGTTTAAAATGAATAAAAAATTTAAAAAAAACAATAAAATTTATTACCAGAAAAAATATTTACATTTGTTGTTACATTACTACATACAAAGCCCAGTACTTCGCTCTTGGGGTGTTCAGATGTATTTCACCACCTTTTTGTATGTATAACTGGGAGGGCAAGAACTTAAAATATTTTAAAAATTCCATATCAAACTGTTATCAGGCTCTGGAAAGATGATGACAGAGGGAGAAATATTTAAAAATAGATGATTTCCAGAATTCAGTACAGGCTCTGATCACGAAAGTTGCTTTCATAGGTTGTATTATGTAATTTGCTGTAATTACCCAGCCGCGTGGAGCTTCGGGGAATTCTGAGACTACTTCTACCTCCCCCCTCCACCTTCCCAGATTTCTACTTGGTCCTAGAGAGCTCCTATTCTTAACTTCCATTTATCGTGCGGGAAAGATGGCAGTATCCAGTAAGGTGACGGTGACAATACTTGATACTTTCTTTATATATTTTTATGTGTGCGTGGGTAGATCAGTCTTTCATATGGTAGACAAGCATCTTCTTCTGAAATCAAATCTGTTCCTTAATCTGGGACCTCCAATAGAACAAGCCCAACTGTTTTTGATAGGGGTTTGATTCACACAACGGATGCCCCCTGCTCTGAGCGCCTTCTGTGTGCCAGGTCCTGGAGAGACCCGGAAAGGCAAAGGCCAGCCGTGGGCTCCGGAGCTCGAAGTCGGATGGGGCAGGTGTCATGCAAACCAAGCCGGGAAATGACGCGTACCCGGCGTGGCTGGGCTGGGATCGCCCGAGCTCGCACACCACCAGTGAGAAGTGCGCCGCGCAGCCTTCTGCCTCGAGGGGGCGCTGCCGGAGGAGGAATCCGCTGGGGCTCTGCGCTTGGGCCTCGCCCCTCTGGCTCGAACCTTTGGCCTCCAGCCTACGTTGCATTGCGTTGCGTAGCGTTCGCGGTCGGGCGAAGAGGTAGTTTGTCCTCTTGCGGCCCCCGTCTCGGGCAGTGTGTTCGGTGTTTTGTCGGTACCTCGCTGCGTCCCGGACATTAGTCACGGAGTTTCTGGGGAAGAAGACGTGTAGCTAAGGAGGCGTGTGTGGGACACCGCCGCCACCGCGGGGGCCATGGAGCCGCCGTTCAGCCCGAGGCGGCCCGTCTCTCAAAGCCTGGATGTGAACTGGGGTGAGTGGGGCTGGACGCGGCTGGGGTTCGGGGGTCGGACGCTGCGCCCACGCGCGGTGACAGGTGTCAGAGGAGGCCCGGCCTGGAGCCAGGCCTCCCCTCTCACCCGGGGGAGCTCTGGTCTGCCCGGCCCCCTCCTGGGGGGACTCCACGCGCGGCCCCCCTTCACTGGGAGAAAAGCTCGAGAGCGAAGGTCCGGGTGGGGGGCAGCCCCGAACCCCAAGAGGCTCCTGCCTGCGGGGGTGGGGAGGTGTGGGACGCGGGGGGCCCCTGCCAGTGTGTGCGGGTGTGGGTGTGTGGAAGTGTTGATGTGTACGTCTGAGTGTGAGTAGATATGTGTGTATGAGAGCGTGTGTGTGTATATGTGTGTGTCTGAGTGTATCTATATTGGACTGTATGGCTGTCAGTATATATGTGTGTGTATATAAGTGTATGTATGTGTATGTCTGAGTGTATGTATGTGTGTATATAACTGTATGTATATGTGACCCTGTATATGAGTATGAGCATGTGTGAGTTTATGTGGGTGTATATGTGTGTATGAGTGTAAATATACATGTGTGAGTATGTATGCTAATGAGTCGTATGTGTGACCCAGTGTGTGTAGGAGTGTGTATGTGTATGTCTGAGTGTGAGTGTATATGTGTGTATGAGAGCGTAAGTGTGTGTGGGTTTTTGAGAGTATGTGTATATGTGTGTATCCGAGTGTATGTGTATATGTGTGTATCTGTGTGTATGTGTGTATGAGAGCGTAAGTGTGTGTGGGTATTTGAGAGTGTGTGTATGTGTATGAGTAAGTATGTGACTGTATGTATGACTATGAGTATACTGGATATGAGTATGAGTATGTGTGAGTTTATGTGGGTGTATAAGTGTGTATGTCAGTGACTATGTTCGAGTATATATGTGTATGAGAATGTATGTATGTGTGACTATGAGTATGTATGTGTATGTCTGTGTAAGTATATAGGACTGTATGTGTATATGACTGTGTGTGTATATGTGACTGTACTAGTATGAGTTAATGATCTTGTGTGAGTTTGTGGGTGTAGGATTATATGTCAATAACTATGTGTGTGTGACTGAGTGTGGGTATATGTTTATGAGAGTGTGAGTATATGTATTGTGACTGTGGGAGTATATATGCATGAGTGTGTGTATGTGTGACTGAATGTGAGTATGTATGAGTGTATGTATGTGTATATGTGTGTATATATATGTGTGTGAGTGTATGTGGGTGTATGCATGACTGTGTGTATGACAATGTATGTATATATGAGCATGTATATGTGAGTGTATATACAAGTGTGACTATATGTGTATGTATAAGTGTGTATGTGTGTCTGAGTATATATGTGTGACTGAGTATGAGTATATGTGTGACTGAGTATGAGTATATGTGTGACTTTGCGTGTGTGACCATGTGTGAGAGTGTGTGTATGCATGAGTGTAAGTGTGTGATGTGTGCCTGTATAAGTATATTTGAGTATGTGTACATGTGAGTTTTTTAGTGTGAGTATGAGCATGTATATGTGAAACTGTGTGTATGCATGAATATGATGACCTTGAGTATATATGTGTGTATAGGTGACTGTGTGAGTGTGCCTGTATGTACGTGTGTATTTGTGATTATACATGTGAGAATTGGTGTGTGTGCACATGCTCATCATACTCATTTCATGATGCCCATTTTGTCTGAGAAGCCCGGCACTGGCACCAGAAGAGCATGAGCAGGGGGGACCACAGACACCTGCTTGCTTGAGCCTTCCTTCCAAATCTTGTCACACTTGAAACCCAGCAGCAGCAGCTCTCTGGAAAGGCTTTAAGTGGTTATTTCCCCTTTTTCTTTCCATATTATTGCATGAGCAGGGTAGGGATTGGTGGTGGTGGTTAAGTCAAGAAAATTCTTTTAAAGCACTACTGCCAGTTAATGATTGATTGATGGGAAAAAAGTTATCTGTTCTCTCTATGTGTTGCCTGCCTAGGTTTAGGTAATCAACCTTAAGACTGTATTTGGGGTGTGTTGTGTCTGACCCACTGCCACTGTGCAAACTTTCACCACTCTGTTGCAGATTTGTGTAAATACTCTGTAGTTACTGGAGAATCCCCTAATTTCTCTTTATTTTCCTGATCTAAAGTATTATCTAACAGTTTTTCCTGGAGTTTATTTCAGTATTTCTAGTATTTAGGATTCTTTCTTATCTCTTAATAGGATGTATATTTCTTAAGCCTTCTTTTGGTTCCTCACACACAGCATTTCATGTATCTATGTCCTACTGTAAGCTACCCTGCCATGTCTATGAAGCACTCCTTCCTCACCTCTGCCTGTTACAAAGTCTGCTTCCAGGCTTCCGAGTAGGACTTCCTGAAACAGGACTTTTTCCAATCCTTCCAGATTCTTGTGCCTCCCCCCATCCCCATTGCCTTGTATTTGTTTTTTATTTACATATCTTGTACATGTTGTCTTTTCGTAGGGAATGTAAGCTGCTTACTTAAATTTTTGTGTTTGTGTCCCTAGCAGCTGGCACAGTGCCTAGATTGATAGTGAGTTTTTGAGTTCACTAAAATCCTTAGAATTTTTTCAAACTGTTACCTAACCACATCTCTGAAATCTTTTACTTGTGAGGTTAATTTTTTGAACCTAAGTCTAAGACTTTACATTTTTTTATCTTAATAGATTAAAAAAAAACCCTTTATCTTATTCACTTTAGCCTTTCACGCTCTTTTAAAATGTGAGCTGTGTCAGTTCATTGTGTTAACTTTTCACTCCAAGTTCTGTTGTCATCTGTGGATTTGCTAAGCATACATTTTTACCTTCATTTAAGTCACTGTCAAGTGTTAAACAGAATAGGACCACGTATTTCCACCTTTTCAAGAAGAATTGAAGTACTTTGCTAAAATCTAAATGAGTTGTATCTGTAGAATTCCCATGATCTACTAATTTAGAAACTTAGTCAAAATAGAAAATAAAATTAGTTTGATATTTCCTGTTCTTGATAAAATCATGCTGGTTCTTTGTGATTTCTTTTTTTTCCCCCTGGATTTTTAGCAGTCATCCTTTTACTAGTACGTTTGAGAATTTTTCTAGGAATCAAAGTAAAAAAAATACTAATTTAGTTTGTAAACTCCTTTCTCCTCTCTTTTTTGGAAATTGGGATATTAACTGTTTAAACAGTAATTTTTTATTGCTATTTTTGTTTTTGCTTTATCGACATTCCCTCCCATCTTCTGTTGTCCCCTCCCAGACCCCCCCTCCTTCATACGTAATAATGAAGAATTTTTTTTAAAAAAGAAAAAGAGGAACAAGAGAAAAAAAAAGCCTTCAAACCCAATCAACATGTTTAAAAACATTGCATGCATTCTTCTCCAATCCTGTGGAATCTCATCTGTTTTCTGTGATCTGATCTGTCAGAGATCATTGGCAGTGGCTTCACAGTCACATGTCCTAGTTCTTTCAGTACCCAAGAATGTAATAGTTCAGGTGACTTGAATTCAATAATGAAAAACAGTGCTCTCATGATATTCTCACTTTACTTATTTTCAGTATTAGTTCCTGGTTATTTGCTGTTCCTTCCAGTGCAAACTTCATTCTTAGAGGGGAGAATAGAAGTGTAGAAAAAATTAAGTAGCATTGGCTTTTCTCTGTCCTCATTTGTTCTTATCTTAACCACCCTGGGCTGTGATCTTCTTTCTTCCTTGATCCTCCCTTTTTCCTTAATGTAGTTAACACTTCTCTTTGTTCTTAGATTTTCTCTCTAGCCTTCATCATTATGAGCTTCTGAAACTATTTTTGTACCTTGTTTTTAGATTCACTTTCTTTAATTTTTCCTTTCTTCCAATTTTTGTAGATGTCTTTAAAAAAAAATCTGAGTTGCTTGCTGAATTCGTTGTGAATCCATACTGGTTCCTTAAGTAATTCTCTCTTTTCTTCCTCATCAGGTTGGTTTCTTTTTGTGTCTTTAGAAGTGTGTTTGGAGTTCTGTACCTTCCTTCTAGGTCTGACTTCCCCTATGGAATTGATGCCACTTAACTTTCCTTTTAATTCTTTGAAATGTGCTCTTCTAAAATTTAAAATATGTCAGATTATAGCCAACTTTTCTCTCCCTTGTCTATCACAAACTCCAAGGAGTTTCCCTTCTGGAGTCATCATCATCATTGCTTCACTCTGCATCACTTTCCTTTTTGCTAGCACTGACAATACTTGTCACTTTAACCTCTACCACACCCCTCTTAGCATCCCCTTGTCTCCACTTAAGTGTTTACCATTCTAATTCAGACCCTTCTCATCTCTTGCTTGGATTATTGTAATAGCCTCTCTATTGCATTCTCTGCCTCTAGTCTCTTTCCTTTTTTTTTTTAAACTTTTTGGTGAGGGATCATGGTTAAGTGACTTGCCCAGGGTCACACAGCTAGTAAGCGTTAAGTGTCTGAGGCCAGATTTGAACTCAAGTCCTCCTGACTTCAAGGCCAGAGCCCTATCCACTGTGCCACCTAGCTGCCCTCTCTTTCCTTTTCTGTCCTCCCCTCCCTTAGCTGAGCTATCAGGATTGCTCTGATCATGTCACCCTCTGCCTCAGAAAGGTCCCGTGGGTCCCTGTTGACCTAGGATCAAATATAGTCTCTTCTGTTTGCTATTTAAAGCCCTTTACAGTCTGGCTAAAGCAGAGGTTCTTAACCTGAAATCTTTGAACTTGTTTTAAGAAAACAATTTCTTAACGTATTTTAATATAGTTGGTTTTTTTTTATAATCTTGTGTATTTTATTGTATGCATTTAAAAATATCTTTCTGAGAAAGGGTCCACAGGCTTCACCAGATTGCCAGAGGAGTCCAAGGGGTCCTTGGCACAGAAAAGGTCAAGAACCCCTGGGCTGCAGCCAGTCTTTCCAGGGTTTTTGCACATTACTCCTCTTGGCGCCCTCTAGGGTTCAGCCAGATTGGTGTACTTGCTGTTCCTTACGCCTACCGTTCCGTCTCTCCTTTCCCTGCTTTTACACCGAGT